ACAGCATATATAAACATTAAAATGTAGCACACAGTTCCTTTAAGTATTGGAACTCTTCAACTCCAGGGAAAAAAAAAATAAAGTTCAAACTACGTTGCGTATGTCCTTAATTTATGGATAAAATAATATCATAATTCACTTGTATGTCTTTCAAGTATTTAAACTACGATTTAGCAAAACAATTGGAAGATAAAATAGATTTTAAAACTATTCCCGCATGAATTTGAAAAGTTTTTGTTTAGATGCTCTCATCAGTTTCACTCCATTCGATGTATTGAAAATAAATTCAACACTTTTTCTTCCTTTTCTATTTATTTCGCAATACAAGTTAAGAAATATAAGTGCCGAATAGCCCGCTGTTGCATAACTTGGAATCTCTCGAGATCAGACAGAGAAATCAAGAAAATCAGCATCAGGTATAATTTTACGTAGAATGTACGTTGGAATTCTAGAAAATTTATCAATGTTCTCCACATTGTAACTTTATACATGTACAGGTATCGATCGCCGCAAAAAACAACAATGAAACAATGATCGATTTCACTACTGTATTGAAATATACAAGGGGTGGGGCTTACTGGCGGCAAGATTAAAGCGGTGTCCGCTTCACGCATGAGTGCGTACTGCACCCGAGGCACACCCAGAGCGGTGCCACAATTTCTGAAAGCGCAGTCTGAGTGAACCGAGGAAGTAAACCGGGCAGCGCATTGGGTTCGCTCTGGTGTTAGGTTGTGTTCTGTAAGACAACTACACATAATATATGGTGACTAAGTTAGTCCGTTCTTAACTATACCAAAGAAGTAGTCTTGATGTGAATTATTTTTATGCCCCAAAATTGAATTTTGGAAAAATATTGTTTTTGTCCTGTCTGATTTTTTTTCTGTAATTTTTAATTGTAGTTCTGTCATAAATTTTAACCTCTATTGTGACGAATGAAGTAATATGTTAACGGCTCTATATATATATATATATATATATATATATATATATATATATATATATATATATATATATATATATATATATATATATATATTTGTGCGTGAAAGGTGTCAAACGGTGACTTTTGTTTGTTTACACACCTTCAAGCCGGGGACAGTCTCCCAACCGGGGACGTCCCCGGTTTTCTTTGATTTCAAAATACGTTATAGTTAACCATTAAAGATGAATTATAGGACATTGTTTTAACTTTATGTATGTTTTCTATGTAAAAGAGATGGACCAACAAGGCATGCATATTGCCTAAAGCATTAGATACATATACATATCAAATTTGAAAATTTAATATTAAAAGTAAAAAGAAAATTTAAGTTCTCATAATTAAAGTTATGAAATTATGACAAACAAAGCGTTTTTAGCTCACCTCAACGAAGTTGGGGGAGCTTATGTAATACCCTCGGCGTCGGTGTCGGCGTCGGCGTCCCAGGTTAATGTTTTTGGAGCAGTTTTCTTTTCAAGTACTTCTATGGCCTATATTAGTTAGAGATACATGGAGGATGCTTCTAGTGTGTTTTATTGTACCAGTCAAGGTTTCAGATGCTGCAATTTCAGCTAAAGAATGACCAGGTTAATGTTTTTGGAGCAGGTTAAAGTTTTTGGAGCAGGTCTCATTTCCAAGTAACTATAAGCCCTGTATTGACCAAACTTGCATGGATGATACATCTAAGGATGCACACTACTGGACTTGCTTCGGATGCTGGATTTGACCTACATTTTCCGGATGAGTGACTAGGTTAAAGTTTTTGAAGTAGATCTCATTTCCAAGTAAATATAAGCCCTATATTGACCAAACTTGCATGGATGATACATCTAAGGATTCACACTACTGGACTTGCTTCGGATGCTGGATCTGACCTAAACAGGGAATTATTTAATCTTAGACTAATTATAAATCCTGGATTTTCAGAAAATTCTGAAATCAGGTGTAGTGCCCGAAAACTAACTTAGTTTTGCTTGAAATTATCAGTTTTCACTGTAGTAGATACTGTCTAAATGGGTAAGTGTGTATATAAGAAGCTAATATAATTGAATTATTGTTTATTTTTATTCATTCATGTTTTTATTGTGTTCCAATTTCATATTTTTATTGTTAATTTTCAGTCACAATTATTATTTCTAGGGTAAATGTCTTTTATGCAGTGTATCTGGTGTTCTACTGTTGTAGCTGTAGAAAATAAAGACGCATGCGCAGATGGGGGTTAGTCGATGCCTGGCATCAAAAAACGACTAACCCCCATTTGCGCATGCGTCATTATTTTCTCGCTAAATTCTGCAGTTTTCTGCAATCAAACGGCGATATTAAAATAATCCATCGAATTTCCGTCATTAAATTATGCTACGACTCCACTGATTTCGCAAAACGTTCCTTCCGAGTTGTAGATATCCGTTAAACATTGCCAACAACGCACGGCTTCATAGTCCCCATGAATGAAGACCCGACTGAAGAAATGACTCGCAGCAAACGAAAATACATACCGATGCGTATTCAGCACGACAACTGCAAACACTTACATATGTTTTCACAATCGTAACAACTTTTAAATCCAACGAAATGGTCAGAAAAACGCAGCGATGTAAACACTACCAAATTTACAGCAGCTTCCTTATGCAGACAACCACTCCTCGACGTCACAGTCGTAAAATACGACGTCACATGTACACTCTTTTCCCGAATTTTTCTAAAGCAAAATGGCGATTAAGCATTGTACGTAATATAAGGCATACTGTCTTTGTTGTTCAGCACACGTACTTTTAATTGTTTGCAAAAAGTTCTCCTTTAACCAGGTAATTGAATATCACAAGAGGAAGGGAAACTGGAATGTCTTCAGTACAGAAATCGGTCTTTGAAAATTGAAGATCCATGATCCGCCCACTTGTTTCACCTCCAGCTAAGAGGTGCATATTTAGTGTACAAATCGAGAGTTTTCAAGCCATTGTGACGTCACCCTCAATAATTTGTAACAGATCAGTGAAATCTTACAATAAAAAAAAAGTAATAAAGAGTTAAACTGTGGAAATCATTATTTTTCAAGTCTTGTGTACTATAAACAAATTATTACTGATTAATCAGGTGTAAGGCACAACGATTGTCCACAAGGCAGCATTGATATAATAGTACTTGATGTACATGTAATATGATAGTTAGTACTTGATGTACATGTAAATATACTGTAGATAATCCGTTTATTTGAGATACCCCACCTGCCCCCGATATGAATTTGTATTGAACCCTTTTATCGATTGATTTGTGTATGATCAAGAACTAACGAGAATGGGGTTGACTGGAACGGGGGGGGGGTGATTGGAACAGGGGGGTCGACTTCTTATCGTTTATACAGGTGCCTTAGGAAATAGCAAATGGATTTCAGTTAAAATATCTATAAATCCCCAGCGATTTTATATGATACTGAATAACGATCCCCTTTTTTATATTAAATATTTAAAAAAAACAATTCTAGATACCTACCCCCACCAGGAAAAATGCTCCCCTATACTCGGTGAAATTCGTAAGTTTCTCTATTAAAATATCGAAAGCCACACATGCTTTTGTTCACACTTTATTTATATTATAGAGTCTTATACAAACAAAATTAAGATGTATTATAAGAATTTTTGGTGTGTTTCTGTGTGTATTTGTGGGGAGGGGGGGTAGGGGTGTTTGCGGACATCCTCCCCAACATCCCCTTTAAATCCTCCATTGAGCACAGGTGCAAGAGACATTTCTATAAATATTTACCGTTGGTTCAGCCGAGATATATGGATATAAAACCGCTTTTTATAATTTTTAACTAGTCTTTATAGATTATAAGTTCGACTAAAATCTTAGCTATATTGTCACTTGCCGAAAAATAGAAGTATTTGGAATGAGTAAGATATATGTTACTGTCGACGTATTTTAAATACTTGTATGATATCCCCCGAATATACTATTAGTCGCTCCATTCTTTCCCTATAATTTCTAGTAGATCTGTCATTAACGGGGGAAAATTCTTCAAATATACAGATTCGGTGTAATACATGTAGCACATTTCCATCAAAACTCTTTTGCTACAATTATCTATTTCATTATGAATAGCAATATAGAGATATAACATGCTCATCAGTTTTACTAGAGCTATTACTAGTATCCCTGCCAGGCCACCTGTGAAGGAAATGTCACTCAGAATTGCCGAGGAAAAGAAGGGTGGGGGGGGGGTACCAAACATGCTCAAGGAAGTGCTGCGCTTTTATTTCCGTTAAATGACTCATAACTAAGATGACTTCCATTGCTCAATTTCTATCGTCTAAGAAAGCAGTTCTTCTACATTAAAAAATAACATTAAGGTATACCTTTACTCAGAATAAAAAAAAAATCCACTGATAGGAGGGACAAACCAACAAATGTACATTAAAGAACCCCAATAGTAGTGTCATTTTTGACTTTGGAATATCTAGGTCAATGAGCTACTTTTTTTGCTATTGGCCTCCCAAGATTTCCCGGAAAATTCCTCCAAATTCTACACTATAGCCATTTTTTTCTTTTCAAGCAAAATATGAGTAGTATCATAAATCTTTTGGAATATAAAATGTATTTTATCATAGTAACTGGTGCAAAATACCAAATAATTTTCAGATTGGGGTCAACCAATTTAAAATTATTAAAGTCCGAATTTCCTCTGTTATTTTCAAAATTCCACCAGTTTTTCATCAAGAATTTAAAAAAATCCCACTGATAGGAACAATAAATAAATCATACTTTTATAAGACTTAAATTCTCTTTATTTTATTGGTATAAAATGTATATGGGGTCAATATTGATATTTTTCTGGTGAATAACAAACCATATTCACCACCGAAAGAGTCCATAATTGTATAATATCTTATGATCAATTTTTTTCTATTTTTTAAGCATCTTTGTCAAAGTTTTACAGCTTGAGATTATTTTCCATTTAATATTTATATAACATTTTGGTACATAAATTTTCATAAAATAATATTTTTTCATAAATTTATATATACTCACAGCAACAAGATAAGATGCTCCAGAGTTTTTTTTCTGCTACAGATGCTGCTACTCTGTAGTTTAAGCTAGCTGAGCCGCTAAAGTAGTGGTTTTTCGGAGCTTTCAGTGACACAGTCCTATTGAAGGACTCATTTGGTTGGGTGCTTCCCAGACTGGAGATCTTACAGCTGTTCTGCTTCCATTGGTTGCATATTGAATGTAGTGAATCTTGAAGGTCCGAGTCTTTTAAGGGCTTTCCATAAGGCAAGGAAGAGTACCTTCAATTTATTTTGAACATATACTGAATCAATTAAATCAGGGTTAGGAAATGGACGAGATGAAGCTTGCACATAATAAATGTATATGTAGATACATTATTTCAAAATGATACTGAATTACATACTAATTATGTCCATACATAGTCATATGTATAATAGTACCTTTGCTTCGGATTGTTAACATGCTGACATCAGGAATCGCTGCATGACTCATGGTTTCCAAAAGGGTGATTACAGAGGGCATCAAGTGCCTTTTCTATTCCTCTTGGGTTTCCCTGGTTTTGTGCTAGTAGATAATTGAAGCACTTTTGAAGGTAGTGGATTACCTTTGTAGTTAAGGACTTGTGTTTTTTCTGCAAAGCATATAGACTTGAGGAAAATTTTTTTCTAATGTGGTTCTTGTCGCATTTTTTTTTTAATGTTTGGGTTTACACTTTGTTTCAAGCGAGAAATGGTGGTGGTGTCATCATCAGCTATAACAGTGGACACCTTTATTCCTTTGTCCTGTTTTTTCTCTACCATGCTGATAACCATACTTGGCTCCATAGATTTAGAACTTCCTAAAAAAAAAAATCAAAAAACAAATTTAAAAACTAAGTTAATGAAATTTTAAGTAAGATTAATATTACATTTGAAAATTAAATTCAAAGATATGTACAGGTGCATTTCTCAGTTTCAAAAATTGCTATTTTAGCAGGTTAGTAAAAGTTCATTCAGTTTATTTAAAAAAAAAATAAACAATTACATACATATAAAACCAAAAGGTAACAATTAAATCCTATTCTTAACCTCAAATATAAACACTCATTTCAATTGAAGTATCTAATACCTTGCCAATTTTGTCTACAGTCATGTTCCTTTGCTTCTTTCCCATTCCTCTTAGCACTCTCACATATCCTGCACATCTTGCTACGAACTTCATACCCTATTACTTTCCCAGTGTGTTCTCCAATCATTGAGCAATGTCCTTCAATTAAAATGAAAAGGAATTTAAGGTAAAATTATTACTTGGACCTCTCATATCATGTAAATTGCAGACATTATGATTACAGACTAACAGCTAGTTACCAGAAAAGCTATCAAATGAGTGACCACTCCCCCTCTTCTGCCATCCAGCATCTACGCTTACCGTTAATTCTTCAGCTCTTTCAGTTCTGAAAAAAAAATGCTTTTTTTTTTTTTTTTTTTAATTTTTTGAATTTTTCTTTATTGTTATTATTATTACTCCTACTATGATTATTAATTATTTTGAAATACTGATTACAACAAGAGGTCCATGGGCCACATCACTCACCTGAGCACTGTAGCTAGGAAAAAAGCAAAAATCAGTTCAGTATTGAAAAGCTTAAATGCATTATTGGTCTCGACCTACCCCTAAAAAGGGGAGAGGGTAGGATTTAACAAACTTAAATTTATACTAAGTAAGGATGCTTACATATTTCTTTGACTAACTGTGGCTTTTTTCCTGTAAGTTTAAACTTTCATTGTGGCCCCACCCTTCCCATGGTAGTCATGATTTAAGCAATCTTGAATCTACATTACCTGAGAATACTTCCACATAAATATGACCAATCATGGCTTTGCTGTTCTTGAGAAGATTTTTCCTATATGTTCCTATGTAAAACTTTAATCGTCCATTGTGGCCCAACCCTGTCCCCAAGGATCATGATTTGAACAAACTTGAATCTACACTACCTGAGGATGATTCCACATGATTTTCATCTTTCCAGGCGCAGTGGTTCTTGAGAAGAAGATTTTTAAAAGATGCCATTAATTTTTCACTTATTCGTAATTATCTCCCCTTGGAAGAGGGCGTGGCCCTTTATTCTTGAGAAGAAGTCCAAAATCTGAAAAGTTTACAGACAGATGGACAGACGGACAGACAGATGGATGCCAGACAAAATGTGATCAGAAAAGCTTACTTGAGCCTTTGGCTCCGGTGAGCTAAAAAACCCAAAAATTAGTTTTGTGAGGAAATATTGTGGCATATTAGATCTACCATCACTTTTTATGGGTGTAAACATGTATATACTTACTCAACTGTTGCTAGGATTTCATCTTGTAAGACCTGTTGGATGGTGTCCTCAGCAACTTTTTCAATGGCCAGCCCTGTCTCTGTTTGTCTATTCTGGATGGTCTTCGTACTTAAAGCAGGGATATTTATAGATGTTAAAAGGTCATTTACTTGAGCTGGGCCAATGCCAGCATGAATCATTCCTATTAAATTGTAAAAAAAAAAAATGTTACATGATGATGAAAATTAGGGCTGGGACGATATATCGAGATATCGATAATATCGATTCTTTGTGAAGACGATACGCATATCGATACATATGAAGAAATATCGAAATATCGCAAAAAAAATTCTGACTGCTGTTTTTCTCTGTTTATTTAACATTTGGCCAGGGGTTTAATATATAAAATAAATAAGCAAAATATAAATATAGATATGAAATAAATAATAATTAACACCACTTGAGTAAAATATTTTTGTTTTACAACATATAAAAAACTATTTTGAATAAATTTTTTTTTTTGAAAAGAAATATTTTGTTTATTTCAATGCCAAAAAAGATTTTATAACCAATTACACATATCGTGATACATATCGTATCGTGGCTCAAATATCGTGATACATATCGATATAGAAAAGTTGTATCGTCCCAGCCCTAATGAAAATCAATTAACACACAATTTGAATACATACTTTTTAAATTGTATGCATTTATTTATACCTGTAGCTAACTTAGTATTAGCATCCCATATGCGACCATGGCGTTTTCCTGTTGGAATCACATTGACATGTCCACACCATAAATTTCGACACCGAACCTGAAGAAAGCTACCTAAGCCACAATCGCGTATTCCTTGGGTGTGAGACAACTGAAGTGGCAATCCACACTGTTTACAGCCAGACAATCCATCGGCCAGAACCCCAAGCTCCACCACCCTCCTTCCTTCCCTCCATGAAGAATCATATTTAATATAAACATTTAGATAACTTTAATATTATATTTTTTTTAATCTGTTTTTGTTTAGGTAGACATGGAGTTCTGTTTATCATTTTGATGGCTGTGCAATTTAACATCCTCATCTAAAAATTATCATATGATAAAGTAGAAATATGTGAATAACATTAATTTGTGCATTGTAACTAAAACTACAATAATTTTTAAAATAATAAATGAATTACAAAGTTCAATATTAAAATTACCCTCATGATTTCATTTCACTAGTTCAGTACTATAATTAATATTATTAAGAATTTGCACACAAAATTTACAATCAATTAAATCATTTAAATTCAATAAAAATTTAGGACTTTGAAAAATTGGTGGATTTTTTTTTTAAAAATCATACATGTGTATTGTTTGAATGCATGTTTTCAGCTGCAGATCCAGTGTTTACATATTGTACTTAATTTTTTAGTACACACTGACACATTAGGCCTATTTCTAGTCAGAGTAAGACAATGTAAGACACCAGCTATTACCATCACACTGTCAGAAACTCTCTCTCTCTCTCTCTCTCTCTCTCTCTCTCTCTCTCTCTCTCTCTCTCTATTATTTCTCTGAGGAAAAAATGTAAGATTGTTTTATTTCAACATAATTTTGTTTTTGACTGTATTATTTTTTTTATTAGGCAGGAGTGCGTGAAATTAAAATTGAGAATGTTTAGCTCGTTTACAGCATGCATGCATTCACCCAACAGATATATAGATCGTGAAATTGAACAAAAATATATGTGATAATCATATGAACGCAGATACATTAGATCACATGCATGGTCAATATTCATGTTGCTTACCCAGAACTCTCTGAATGAACAATCACATCGCATCCAGCTGTGTGGGGAACTTCACGATCGTTGTACGTGTGGGGTACTTGATCGGAATTAGTTTCCTTGTTGTCCGTGTGGGGAAGATGATGATGATCGGCCTGTGAATAACTGTGGTCGTCCCGGACGCACTTCCACCGAGATTTTAAGATCTCTGATTTTTTTGTGTATTTGTTATTCTGTTTTGAAAACCCCTGTCGTTTCCACGGTATCAGGTTCGTTCGCCCTGTCTACCTGTTCGCATGAGTCCGTTCGCGCAGGGTCCGTTCGCCATTATTCTTGTTCGCCCTATATCTCGTTCGCCCTATTATCATGATTATATATATATACAGTATATAGTAAATATCAACATTTATTATTAATTTTATTCAATATTTTACGACTTGGTGTTTTTTTCAAATATTGCTACAGTAATTTTTTTTATTTACCGTAATCTTAATTAAATAATTCAAATTTGATATTTATGCTCTTTACATGCTTAATGGATTTAATTATACTTAATAATGCCACTGTAATTTAGGGGATCATACAATCTGCGTTATATTTTGAAAACAATTAAAGGACTGAGACGTTAATATCTGTTGGTCTGCCGGGTCTTTGATAGTACAGGTTTTTATAGTGTGACCACGTGCATACGTCTGTTGTCTCCCGTCTGCAATTTATGTACCAATGTACATATAATTTATTTAAAAAAAATCCATTGGTTCATTATTCAACTTTCTGCAATATAAATCAGGCGACTGTTTACATTCGCCACGAAATTTACGGCATGTCGCAAATAACAAATTGCATATACCAGATTGTTAAAAAAATTAATATTATTCTTTACTGTTACGTTTAATTTAATATCAACACTTTATTTTCTTAATGTTTTCTATATTTAATATATCATGACGTCACCGATTTTACAACATCATATTCTACGGCGACCCGTTTGTGTTAACTGTAACGTTGAGTAAACGTAATCCTTAAAAACATTTTGAAGTTTAAATCTTTGTTTACGATTTTTGTTTCAGAAAAGCTTATATATATATTTTTCCAAGTGAAAACTCGATCACTAAAAGATACTTTCATAAATTAAATCTATTAGTATGTCAAATGGTCTGTCTAGGTGCTGGCCGCGAGTGTTTTATTTTGTTCTTCGCAAGTTAGATTCCTTCAAGAATCGTTTTAATATTTATCAAAAACACCATGAGAATATTTTGTCGACCTATACTGAATAACCCATTCAACAAAAATAAAAAAAGGGAAGGGAGGGGGGGGGGTACAGTACTTGTATTTCCAGAAGTTCCATGTTAAGTTATTTATTATTATTCTAATAACTGTCATCCTCATCGGAAAGTCTTAAACGAATTAAATAAAAGTAATTACAAAACATATCTTTGCCTCCTTAATTTTGTAAAGACAAAAAATTAAGAGATTACACACACATTTCGTCCTCCTTTGACTCGCGCATCAAGCCTTGGCTTTCGGTTAAATGCAATATAGTGATACTGTGTTTTGTATATTTTTATATGATACCATTTTAATTTACTGAGTATGTAAAATTAGAGGTGAAAATCATGTTACAGAAATCTATGGTAACGTATTATGTATGCATCTCAATACATGTACCTGCAATTCCATCTGTATTTTTAAAAGAAATGAAGTGTCTGATGAGACTGCAGCTTTACTGTTTTGTACTTAAGGGCATTAGCAAGGTTCCTGGCTATTGTATAGAAGTCTCTTCAGCAGATTTAATGGCACTAAATTGGACCACCCCCCCCCCCCCCCCCGAAATAAGTTTTGCAAGTTTTGGTATTTTTCTTTTATTTCTTTTCTTTTTTCGGGGAAGGTGGTATGCTTGTCAAAATTTTTCAAACGTCATCAATTATCCCCCCCGCCCCCCCATTTCTTGAAAAACGATGCTTCGTGCTTGGTTTATTCCTCATGATGCCAGTAAATCATCTGTGAATTCTTTTGAATGAATTTGTTTTCTTTGTGCAATCCAGATAAAAAGTTTTGAAGTCATGGATTTTGTGGCCACAAACATGAATTAATGCTTTACCCTTTGTTTGTAAGGATAAACATATACTCGGACGATCGTCCCTCTCCCCCTTTTTTTAAACACATGATCAATCCACTCTGTAAAGTATGCTTGATAATATTTTCACACAAAACGTCATATATCTAATATACTTGCATTTCATTTTTAAGTGATTATGCTAAATGCCCTTCATTTTCAAGCCCCACAAATACACAAATAAAGCAGCTGAGGGTTTTTTTTTCTTTTTAAAGTAAAAATAATATTTGAATATCCTGTGAACTCCAGTTTAATGAATTACAAACACAAATATTAGCATTTGTTTATTATTTTAACTAGTGATTAGATACATGTACTTCATTTTGAGTTAGTCGTTAGGGTGGCACAGTGGTTAGAACGTCTGCTCTAGGGTTGCGGAGTATGTAGTTGATCCTTACGTCGCGGGTTCAAATCCACTACGGGACGTGGAGACCAGTCCTTCGAATAAGATTATATAAACCGAGGTCCCTTGTCGCAGTAGGTGCTGGCACGAAAAAGATCTTTTACTGCTCAATGGCCCTGAGTGCCTAGTATAGATCAAAATTTGCAGCTCTCCACCGGCAAGTGGTGGCGTCTCCATACGAGTGAAAAATTCTTGAGAGGGACGTGAAACAACATACAAACAAACATACAGACAGACATTTTGAGTTATGTATCCAAACTATTTAGATTTGAATGCATGCTTGTTAAATGAGATTGAATGTGCCAACAATCCTAACTATGAAACTCAGAAGAATTTGCTAGAGGAATATCCCCCCCCCCCCCCGACGAACTTACATGTAGATGGTGGCATAATGCTTTTGTACCGTCTGTCCTTCTATCTGTCTCTATCTGCAAAAGCTTCAATTGAAATCTGAAATGCTTAGTTAAGCTCTCCATTTTTCACATATTGATGCCGTTTTAAGTGCTGTTACCTTACCTCTCCTGGATTAGCCCAATGTTTGTGTTTACATTAAAGTACTGAATGTATGCATTTATTTATTAAAATAATTTGAAGTGTACTTTGCGTTCTCACCATCGGTAACGTTTGAGGAAAATACAGCGAAAATACAACACCATCAAAGTGCAAGTGTGTTCATTTTAGGCATTACCGTGAATTTTAGAATATCTTTTTCTTTGTTTATTATGAAAAACACTTAGTCTTCCTTTTGTTGATCCATTATCGCTTTTAAAATAGTAAGAACTATATAGATGGGTAGATTTTTGAAAGATGAATGGACGCTAAACAGAAAAAAAATAATTAAAATGTTCTTGCTGCCATTTTGCCAATTACAGTTGGAGAAGGAAACAAAGAAAGAAATCGGCAGCAATCTTTCAACGTGTGATCATCATACTACCCTGGATCTATGTTAGGTGGTGATACCAATATTAATGATTACTACTGAAATGTGATGTATCAAAAATAAATTATCGTGGTGTAACAACAAATTTTACTACATATTTTCTCTATTATTTTTTGGGATCGGTTCGCTAGCAACTACGTTACTCTTTTTTTTCTGGAATACGCATGCTCGACCTCACGGTAGGGCATCCTGGGAATACGACTGTAGATAAACTGTACCATGACAATTTCGTTTCATTATCTGTAAAAGATTCGTGCTTTGTTGTTTAACTTGTACGTACATGTAAATGTACGAAATGTAACAGTTACTTAGGTCTTATAATGCAAAGACTGAAGATATCAGTTAATTCTAAAATTATGATAAATATATAGCTTTTCTTAACTACTTTACGACACGCTCGAATAACAACCTCGGATATGCATGCTTGCCGGAAAGACCAGAGAAGATGCGATTGCTACAAAATAGTACCACACTGCATGGAATATTTTAAACTAGGTGCTCATTGGTTCTACTGATCTCTTATTTTTCACCTTAAAATTTAAAATACAGTAAACTATAGAATGCTTATAAAATGACTAATGAGTAATGCTATTGCCGATGTGAAGCCCACTCTAGATTCACCTTTCTGAATTGACCCCCCCCCCCCCCCCCCGTTCATCACTATGCCTTTTTTATTTACAATTAATGGATTCAGCAACTTAAACCAATGGTTCAGATATCTACTTGTGTGTT